GATTTATGTGCAGATTTGTGTCCGTGTGTGTGTGTCACAGGGGTCTAACAGGCTTCAGATGTTCTCACCCACCACTCATACCATGGCCTGTACGAGTGTGTGTCTGCAGCTTAACATGCTTACACTCAGTCTGTGGCCAATTTGTACAGTGGAGATTTTTATTGTGACCTTTGAACTTCCTTTAGGGAGTGCTGTTTCCTCAGTGACTCTGATTCACTTTGACTGGATATTTGATTAGATGTTGCAGTAGTTCAATTGGCTGAGTAAAATCGACCTAGCTTATGATTTACTGCACACAGGTCTAATATCGGCACATCTGTTTGACAGTCATGAAGTATGGAACAGGAAACAGGGAGTTTTTCGTTAAAAAACAAAAAAAAAAGAAAGCATCTGTACTGCTGCACCTGTATTTACAGTATTTCATGAATGTCTATGTACCTCATCCCAATTATTATGTTTAATGCATATTTTAAAAATTGTTTTGTCCATGGTAAATATGGTAATGCAGAATGCAGTAAATCCCGACTTTCCCCGGAACGCAATTATGACAACAATCAACTGCCACTCGCTGGAGTCATACCAACAGTTCCAGCAACATTAAAGTAGGAACACTGCAGTTTGTTACTTGTCACCGATGTCTAAACTAAATCAGCTCTCCCATTGATCATATGTCAAATTCAACAACTAACTTGAAACATGACTTTTGAACTGGATGGTTCTGTAAACAACATGACTGTAAACCTGTTCAACAGCTTTGGAAACATAGAAAATGTAACATCCATCCACTGTTTCTGTATCAAAAACCTACTGAACCCTGATGCCATCAGTACAGTATTCACCAAACCAGCCTTAATAGTAAAAGTACATCAGTAAAAGGTTAGCAGAAAAATGGTAGAAAGTAATAGATTGAAAGAGGCACTAATAAAAAGCAGGTGCTTCTGTATTAGGAGATACAAAGTTTGACCTTTTCTACTGATGATATGCAGATTAATAATTATATAAATTTATTATTTATAGTGTTGATTAAGTATTTGAGTCATTTGAGTATTTTTACCTCTATAGTTTAACATAGGCACAGCCTTATTTCCATGTTATGTGACATTTACGTAAAATAAAGATTAGATATGATAAGTAGCTCTTCTAATTTTCACTAAATGACAGTTTTCCAACCTAATTTTATTCCATCAGGTCAAACAACTAAGGCTCATAGAAACAGGGTCAAGGCGTGTAGTTGTGGTACTCACTCATTTATATTCAATTTGAAGAAACCAGACGCTCGGTCCCAAAGTCCCTGTTGTCTGTGAAGAGAGAAACAATAAAATCAGGAGAAACCCCAACAGAGAGATTAACCCTGACCTAACCCAGCAGAACCATTAAACATAATGAAAACACATATGTTGCTGAACCAACCACTTTGTATTGTACCTCTGCTGCAGCTAAAACCAAACTCTGCTGCCGTCACCGTCATCACCATCTTTTGTCTCTAATCACAACACTGACTGTATTTTGCTGATGCTCGGGTTAGAAAAGGGGCCACGCAATTAAATAGTCATTTTGCAGCAGTGTGGAATCCACATGTTTGACTCTTAGATGTGACCAGCAGCGGGGCAGGTCCCGGCCTGACTCAGCACATCATTCATAATGTGTACTGATCTAGGAGTACATGATGACACCCGTATCTTTGTAGTGGTTTAAAACCATGCGATGTGATTGCTGAGATTTGACACATACAGTGAAACCAGATGCGTTTCTCACTTGTCGTTTTGGTTTGGCACGGCTGCTGTTTGCCAGTTTCAAGCACTTGTAGGAATCAGACACATTGGAGGCAGATGTTGAGAGTTTTTATCTGGATGCTGTCAGTGATACAGATGCTCACAGTGCCAACACAAGTGCTCAGAAACTAAGACCAGGGACAGAACTGTGAGACAGCAGCATGGACAGAGCCTCAGAGTGATTTACAAGTCACTTCAAGAGATGAAAAAGAAAACCAGGAGAGGAACAGAGGTGAGGTAGAAACAAGAGACGTGATGAAGAGGAGAGAGAGAGAGAGCAGTTAAACAGATAGATGAGAGGCAGGTGTAGATGGATAGACAGCAGTAGGAGAGGTTGGTGAGAGGTGAGGCTGTGGGTTCCACCGCAGAGTGATAACAAGCTACAGATGGAAGAGGTTAGCCTGTCTGCATCTGTGATTCTTTTTATAGGCATATTTTTTCAATTTTTCAATTTGGTATAAAGGTTGAGGAGGACATCAGGGAGTGGTTTCAAAAATACTTGATTTGGAAAAGCAGTCTAAGAATGTTGTTTAAATGTTCAAAAAAGATATGAACTAAACTAAGAACTAAATGGAGCAATGAATCTGTGCAGTCCCCGCTAACAACACTGTTCAGCCCTTACACTCCCTCAGTCTCCACATGATCAACACTGAAGATTATGAATATGCAAGTGGAATAATAATAAAATAAAACATGACACATCCTTAGATGGTGTTTAGATGTGCTACACTAACTTGCAAACAGATTTTAAGAAAACCATTGACATTTCTCCCAACAATATTGTCAGTAAATTTGGACCAAAAATATAAACCCAGTGTGGTGTTGATACCAAAAAGTTATTGGAATTAGAGAGAAATAAAAGAGAAAAGAATGCAGGGAGAACTACAATACTGCAGAATGGACCAGAACAGCTGTACATGATGGTACTGTATAGAAAAGTAAACTTAAAGAGTATTTGCCTTTTTCAGCTTGTTGTTAAAATGTCATATTATACTGCAGCTTCTTCTTCCTGTGGTTATAATCTCACAGATCCAGGACTAACAAACACAGTTTACTTCAAGCTGATAACAAGGCGACAACATTCTCTGCTGTCAAAACACAGAGGTGTGCAGTGAACATGAAGACAAACACATCCGTGCTGGCAAAATCTTCTGCTCTTCTGCTTCTGCTAATCTTCTGCTTATCCCTCGTGCACACACACCACTACACCGACACCCCTACACACACAGAGAGATTCATGTCAGTCTTCATCACTCTCCCCTCAGCTGCAGGTCATTACAGGAATAAGAAGGAGTTGTGGAAGGAGTTGAACTCGTAGAGACAGAAAGTCACTGCTGCCGACGTGTGGAGCTGATAAACTGTCAGGGGAAAAAGAAAAACAGACTTCTGTGTATCTGCCAGTGGTTTGTGTGTGTGAGGTTTCAGGTGAAGATTGTTTACACAGACTTCAGCGTCAACACTACAACTACAATGTGTTCTTAAAATATGAAGGAATATTGTATGTGTGTCATAGTTAAAACTAAAAGTATGAATACATATAGAGATTTTAAACAGTTCCACAGTGATCCACAGCTTAGTGCCTTTTACACTCCATCTTCTCATTAGTCCTTTTCCTCGTGTCGTGCCAGTCCCAGTAAATCCGGCTGATATTTCTACCCTCTGTGTCTGTCCTGTGGCCTTCACGCCGTGCCTTTCTAAACTCTCATTATTTTCCTGACTCCTTCCAGCCTGCCTGGCTTCTCTTTCCAACCCCTTTTTTTTTTACTTAACTACCTCTCTCTACACTGTAGGTCCCTGATGTCTCCCTGCTGCCGTGTCTCATTGCTTTTTTCTTCCCAGCAGCTTGAAATTTTTATGTCCCGTCTTCCTTATCCAGCTGTTCCCACTTTTTACTGTCTCCAAAAGAACTTTGTTACAACATTCGCTGGGCCTGGATGTTGTCTTGTCTCAGTGGACAGAGGACCTGGAGAGTTGCCAGTTTGTCCCGTGTTTTTTTTTTTTTTTTGCTTTGTCTGCTGTAATAAAAGAATAATGAATAGAGTTTGTATGTATGTATTCAGTGTTGAAAGCTTCTTCTCATCTGTGCAACAACTTCAACTGCATTGGTCAGAAGAATGATCTGAGGAGAGAAGCCGTCTCATTAAAATTTCATCTTTTTTTTCTGGCTCTTGTTTCGTGGGATTGAAAAACTAAAGTCTGTTTTCTTTAGTGAAAACTCACGGACATGTGCCTTAGCCTGTGTTTGTTAAAATACTCACAGAAACACCAGTATGTGTGTGTTTCTCTGTGTGAGTGTGTACATGTGCAGAGTGTAGGGTCCGAGGCCTCAGTGATGGACAAGGTGTCCTTGAACAGGGGGCCCCGGGGCTTCACTTAGTAAATACCCACACTGAGTGGCAAGTGACTGGAGTTATTATCTCACTGTGTGTGTGTGTGTGTGTGTGTGTTTGGTTGTGAGTGAGAGAGAGAGAGAAAGAGAGAAAGGTAAACCAACGCAACAGACAAGTGACGAGAGATAGACAGGAAACCGATTCACTCAAGATTCCTCCACTCAGAGAGAAGAACACCAACGACATCTCCTCACGCACACATACTTGTCTAAGCATCCTGTTACCCAGACCTCGAAAGAGACGAATAATGTAGAGAGAGTGGGGGAGGCGAGGGAGAGGTGAAGAAGAGATGTGGTGAAAAGAGGAAACAGGATAGTTAGAAATACGAGGTGTTGGTGTGATAAAGTGGAAGATGCTGATGCTGTGGAAAACTGAGAGGCTGAGAATCAGCAGGCTGGTGGCCGGGCCTGTGATGGATGAGTCGGACTGGACTGAGAACAGAGAGGACGGACGACCCACATCTGGTCAGATATCCATCCTTTACTCTCCCGCAGAGTTGATGCGTTGACCTCTGGAGTGTGAGGCTGATGCCAGATCAGAAGCCAGGTGCATCCTGGGATGTTAAGACTCACTGCTGCTCTATCACCTGTTAGGTGTTACAGGCTGTAATGTGTGTATCCTCTGTCTCATTGATGTAAATATTCAGCTGCCCTAAAGTATTCACACTTCCACTCACTTTTAGTTTTTACTCTTAAACACAAATACTGGAACATGACCTACATCATCAAGTCACTGAACACAGTAAACACTCAAATCCAAGGTTATAACTGAAGAGTTCTGTCAAATGTCTCTTTTATCCCCCATGCTCAGCTCATATCTCTTCTTCTTCTCTCTGCAGACCTACTGACCACCAACAGGTCATCCGTCTTCAGCGGTCACCACGGTCAACTCTCCATCACCGCCGTCTACTTAGACGAGTACCGCGACCGACTCTTCCTGGGAGGAAAAGACGTTCTCTACTCCCTAATGCTGGGACCTGGCAGCAGTGAGTCCAAGGAGGTGAGTGTCCTCAGTACTCTGATGACCTCACACTGGCCTGTTCTACACAATTCTGTTTTGATTAAAGAGGCTGTATATATACATATACAAATGTTTTGAGCCTGCTGCACAAAGATATACAACCTACTGTAGGACAGGGAATACTACACGTTTCTCCAGCGTTAGCTCCTAGCAGAACATCTGTTAAAGCACTACTCGTCATAAATCACCCATAAATGCGGGGACTCCAAACTGAGCCACCATTGAATTTCATACTGCAGACATTGCATCACGACTGGAGATGTAACAGAAAACTGTAATAAAAAAATATACAAATAAAACATTTTTAATGCTTTAAACATGTGTAAATCTTGTGTAAGTTACTACTGTCCTTCATGGGTTTCAATGACAACAGTCAACTCCAAGGATGAGGTGATGTTATTATAGATGTTTGGTCTGAAGCAGTGGGCGTCCACTCTCTTCAGCTTCCTCACAGGTCTTTACCTGCAGAACACCTGTTCAAGTGCAGGTGGTCATAAAACAGACCTAAAGTTTTACACCTTTAATGTGAGGATCTATCTCACAAGAAATGTTAGCGGTAATGCTGTTCAGAGGTCAGATAAAACAGCCCTAGATATTTTCCAACATAAATTAATTTCTTTGAGCTACACATTCTAGTCTGTGCCTCCTCTGCTGTTACAACAACCATTTCCATGTCCTTCCTTACTACGTTTATGAATCTCCTTTGGTGTCTTTCTCTTTTACCTCCATCACCAACATCCACCCTTTGCTCCATCTCTCAACCTTTGACTGTATATTATCTTGACAAAAAGGTTCAGATCAGCCTCATATCTAAACCGTTCATTGGCCCTGAGTCATGACCACTAGGACTGGCTCTAGGTCCACCTGTGACTTTAAAACAGTTTAGGAGTAGATGATGATACAGACATAAACAGGATTTCTTTATTTTGATGAAGAGTACTGTAATTGGACAAGAAGGAAATAACTACGTAGTGAACCACCTTGTCTCCTTCCTCATCACTCCTCTTCTTCAAAACATCTCTACCTCCTCCTTTTCCCACTGATTGGTCGTGATACGGTAAACTGACTGATAATCTGCAGTGAGCTGCTTCAGATTTATTGTCTGCAGTACTTCTATCAGTGCCAAACACTCTGGAGATCCTGCAGTGAACCAGAGATTTACAAGACAGATCAGATACAGCAACGCTTCAATGGCAAAAATAATAATGAAACAAATTAAAAACAATCCAGGACATGAGAGATGAACTGCTACTGTAGCCATGACAACCAGCTTTACTACAGACAAGGCAGGAGCTCCACTGTCATACATTCTTTATTAAAAAACCCAAACCTTAAAACCCTGCTGGGAGATTCCAGCGGATTATAAGGAATACTGACAAACTTTGTTTGTACATGAGCAACAGCTGCTTCATAAACTTTGGACTAATGTTCCTCAAAAGAAAAGAACCACTGGACAAACCTGCTGGGTGACAGAGCTAAAACAGAAAATGAGTGTGATCTAATTGTTAACACACGACGATTGTTGGGAACAAGTCCAAAGAAATCATGGCCAGAGTGAAATAAACTGCTCATGGTTTGCATTGGGGCCAACACCAACTGCAACACATCTGGAATTAGAGACAAATCATTATAAAATAAACCAAAAGTCATCTGACACCAGAGCAAAGGTCAACCTGTTTGTCTGTACTGACAACATGAACATGTTGTATTTTTCAAATTATTTCAGAATTAATTTTTGAATGGCCAGTGTTGGGTATATTTAGCAGTCAAATCATTACGCTGTTTTCCCACACTGACAGCATTAAAAGAACCCACTCTTTCATTTGTGATTCAACTGGGTTGTTCACATGTTTGAGAGGTTCCTTTGTTTCATTCTAGTGGTTGGTTATGGACCTGAAGGATTTGGGTTTATTCCAGGTTGTACCACGGCTGGCACACGAAAAAAAAAAAAGACTTGACGCTTGATGTTTCTTTTAATCCCTGTGGGAATTTGGCAAAAACCCTTAGCATCTTTGACCATTTTCATTGTTACCAATACTAAGCCAACTAAATATTTCTGACTACTAGCTTTGCAAAACAACAACCTATAGTTAGCAATAATAAAACACAACAGAAAATTACTTTTGTTTTTTCCATAATGCATTGCCTAACAAGCACAAATTTGGTTTAGTTCCCATTTTAGAAATTTTTTGATAAATTTAAAAAAGAAACATTATTTCTGTTTTCTTTCTTTCTTTGTTTTTATGAAGTGTTCATTTGCAACTGATTATTAAATAATAAATCATAAATAAAGGGTAAAAATATACAGTCGATGTTTAGAACATATACTGTATGTTCAGTAATGTTTTGGTTTTAATGTTAGAAATACAGAAAATGAAACGCGTTTTATCTGCCAGGTTATTCTACATTATTTACCTGTTTTAGGCAACAGATACGTCAGAATATTTCACCAGACCAAAGTTTTCATGTTGGTACTTTTCCACCCGAGGACAGTAAAATGACTGCCTCTCTGTTATTCCTGTGTTTTTCTTTTTGACTAACCAGTAAAACTGCAGGAAATATGGAACCAATCTGCCCAGAGCTGTGACACTGATGAATGGCGTGTGTTTTTACAGAACATTCAGATGCCACCAGACGGTTGATCTTTAATGTTTGGGACTGAAATTGTTGTAATTGTGTTCCCTTTACCAAAACACGTTTTGTGGTCACGGTAACTTGAACCACTGAAAAAAAAAAAAACAGCGTACAGTCGCTTCCATTTAAACCACAGCTTCGTGTTGCAGCTAAATCAAAGTGTTCTCTCTGAGCGCCTTTTGTTTTTTCAAATTGAACAGATATTAAACCAGGATGAGTGAAGAATGAATGGAATCATATATGTCACATTTAATTTTGACAGTAAGTCTATGTACAACACACACTGACCAGGGATCAAATACGCAAAACCAAATAATTTATAACAGCATTTTCGTTTTCAAAAATGTAATAAAATACGGAGAAATGTTTATTATATTAAAATTAAAAAGAGAGAAAGGATAGAGAGACTACATTTTGTTAGTAGAATACATTTGTCAAAAGATTTGTTTAAAGCTCCACCCAGATGTAATGCTATTTACAAAAGAGAATTTCATTATTTTACTCTCTTCACTCTGATGGTTTTAATTGTGTTTGTTACGATCAAAATAAAATAAATCACTCATTTATTCTTTTAAAGCAGCAGACTGTAAAGCAGTAACTGATGAACACTTGTTTTCCTCTCTGGTTTCGCTTCACCCCCTGAACTAAAACAAATTTTGTTAAAATTATTTACACAAAGGCGGTTATTGTTCCTGGGCTTGGCCACAAACTCCAGGATTACTCCTGCCCCCTGGTTATTGAAACAAACTAAGACGTTCGCCTACGGTGGCTGCGGGATTTCATTACTCATTTGTAGAACGTGGCCTGAAAAGTAGATCCATTGTTTCAGGTCCAAGAGTTTATTTCATGTTTATTTCACAGTGGCTCCCTAAAAAGTGGAAAAGACTAAAGGACTTGTTTTTTTCTTCCTCCCAGGAAGTCCTTCGGTCTTTATAATGGAATTGATATTACTGAATGAATGGTGTTTCCTTTATGTTGATCTTCTGAGGAAATTGAATTTTCTAAACCTAGAAACAAAAGTTTGACAGTGAAGGAGGCGAATCCAAAGGGTTCA